TTATTATTTTTTAATACATGATAATAAATGAAATACATATTTTTAAAAATTTCTATATTATACGCAAATATTGTAGTAATCATTATGAAGTACAAAAAAAAAATTAAACTATAAAGAAAATTAACAATTATTATGTATTATTACTAGTAATCTAAAAATAGATACATTAAAATTTGAAACATTAACTGTGTTAATAATACTTCACTTATATGATGTAAAAGATTTTTTGTATCTAAATTAAAAAATAAATGCAATTATATATATAATAAAAAAAAATATATATATATTCTTACTACAGTATTTATATGTAGCTCTATTTAATATAAATATGAAACATATACATGAAAAAAATGGTTTATTTTATTTTTTATATTATAATTAACTGATGTGCATCATCCGTGGTATATATATTTACCCAGTATAGAAGGTTCTAATTATTGTACAAATATATAAATTTTTGTTATATTCATATAATTAAAAGTGAACTATTATTAAAATATTCCCATAAAAATAATTAATTTACATATCCATGTAAAGAATATATTAATAATAATTCATGTATAATATGCATAGAATCTACAAAATAAACTAGTTATAACATATTTGACATGTAATAGCATAAATCCACTAAATTGTATTTGTAAGAGCATTATGTTATTATATTCACAAATTTAAATTTGTATATTAGTTTATATAATATATATATATATATTTTAATAATAATTATAAATATTAATTAAATTATTTTATTGTATAGCCAATTTTATATTTAATCTAAAAATATATAAATGTGTTATAGGAAAAAGCTAAAAAATTTTACATATACAATACCACTAATTATCCTTTAACAAATATAAGTGAATAACATAAATAATCGATAATTACGAATGTTCATAATAGTAGAATTATGCATAAAATGTGTCATAAAAGTAAATATTATTTTCATTATATAAATTCAATAATTATAATATTTAACAACCTAGTATGAAAATGTTATGCATCAAAATAGAATAAGTTTGTTTAATATATTGAAAAAAGGATTCTTCTATTGAGCATAAAAATTTAGACATATCACATTAACACATAGGAACTTTTAATAATTTTTTTTATAATAAAATGTGACATAAATTTATTTAATAATAATATTGTATTCATACATATAATGAATTACAATAGATATCCACAATCCAATAAATAATTATAATATATACTAATTTTAGTACCTTTTTTTTTAATTTATCCAAAGGACATACTTTTTTCTCCAATATTATAAATATATATATAGGTTATAGTACTAATAGATATTCTTCATGTTATGTTAATTAAAGCACTATATTTTTTTTTCTTTGCGCCATGTATTTTTGCTTCAAAATTTTTTAGTTTCTTTCTTTTTAAATAAATTTATTATTATTTATAATTATCATTAAATGACTAAATCTTGTATATACTCTGTTTTGTATATTCCTTTCTTTTAATAATTAAGACAACAACAATTATAATAATTGTAATATTTTTATATATATCTATATGAATATGGGATATAAATTATTTAATTTAAATAGTAAAATGATATTTAAATATTTCATTGTAGTGCTTTCTTTTAACATGTTATTTATTCATATATGATTATATATATAGGATAAAGTGACCCAAGCGTGCACAATCCATTGTGATGAATATGAATCTATGGAATAATCGAAATTATAAAGTTATATATATTTTTTTATATATATTATCAATATGAGCATGTTATATTCATACATTATTTTTTGGATAATATAAAAAAAGATATAATGTGTAAAAAAAATTTATTTTATTTCGTATAATTAGTTAAATAATTAATATAAAAATAAAAGATATAGTATAACTTTATTTTAAAATAAGGAGGGGTTCCAAATTTTATAATTAAACTATATTAAATTAAAAGTAAAATGTACCTATCTTTAGATTATAAAGCATGTATTTTTAAATATTTTTAATTTCATTAATGTGTGATTAATCAAGCTTACAATAATTAAGAATATATGCGCTGGTTGTATCATGTTAATATATATAATTTGCATACATAAGTAAACATTTTCTTATATATATAATGTTTCAATTTGTATTAATGCTATAAATAACAATATAAAAATATTTTATAATTTTTTACAAAATATAGATATATATATAAAAAAATGTTATCAATATAAATTCATAATAATATAAACTATAATCTATATTTAATAAAATGTACTTGAAATATTTTTTTGAGTAAAGCGATATCATATATATAATAATATAATATATTTATTTTTATGATAATATTAAATAATTTTAATTAATATGATATTTTGCAGAACAATACATTTATATTTTATAGTATATATAATAATACATATGTGTTCTTATATGCTAAATATAAACATTATTTTAACAAAACTTTTTATTTATAATACATTTAAATAAATGCGATTATATATTACAATTCCATAAAATTTATATTACATTTATTACTTATTCATATTGTTTAGCTATAATAACTAAATCGTACAATTTCGATGATATAAAAACATAGCACAATGATAGCATTATTCTATATATTAAAACAAAAAATTAAATTATGAATATTCATGTCATTATACTTTATTGTTTATGCATTTATATATTATTGTTGTTAGCATTTGATTTTTCTAGTGTTAACTTATTTAGTATCTCTCGAAGAACATTGCATTAACTGATGCGTTCATAAAACTAATATATAAAAATCTATGATATACCGTTTTTTCAAGGACATACAATTATATAAAAAAATTTATAATATATAAGCATTTCACATTCATGGGTTATGGTATAAGAAATTTTCCTTAAGTTTAATGTGTATATTATTATTAAGAATAATAAAATAATAGAAATAAGAAAATAATATTTATTATAAAATTTTAATAAATATATACTAGAATGCATATATGTATATATATATTTCAGCACTCATTGGACGTATTCTTCAATTATATGTATATATTACAGAGTATATATATATCCATAAAATAGATGCAAATATCTATATAAGCAAATAACAACAACAATATATTTTATAATTGTTGCACTGTAAATTCCATGATAGTAAATGTTATTTGATATTCAATTTTTCACACGTACATATATTACATGTTAATATAATACGCATAAATTACACAAATACCCATAAATTATATGTAAAAATATATAATATATGAAAATAAAAAGCATAAATATAATCTCTGTTACCTGATCTCTATATTCTAATACGAAGGAAGAAAAAAATATATTTCATATGCTAATAATTATTCCATCTAATTTAAAAAAATTATTCATAAATCAAGTAAAAATAATAAATAAGGGTTCTCTAATATTTTATATGTATATATATGCATCATTAAAACATATCTTATAAAATTATGAAATAAAAATTTATTTGTTGATAAAGAATATCAATAAAGGATCTATGGAAATTTTTTTTATTAAATTTAATATAAAATAAAGTCCAAAACATTTTGCAATCCATTAAATGAGGTTATATTTTCTTTTGAATTGTAGCTCTATTTTTATTTTATGTATTATTTACTATAATTTACTTTTTTTATTAGGGGAAAGACAAATATTCTTTTATTTGGTACCATTAAATATTATTCAAGAATTATTAGTAAATATTTTCCAGAATATCTTTATTGTATATTTATATACTTTTATTATTTTTTTTAGATTTTTTACTATATATTTATATAATTGAGTTCTTTCATGGATACATATCAAAAAAGTAAAGTTAAAATAAATGTACTATGAAATATATGATACAAATAATTTAACAGGTTCTAATTCTAATTTGTCAAACAAATAAATAGAGAATTGTCCTTACGATATAGAACATAATTTTACTTAATACACTCAAAAAATATATACAAAAAAAAGTGTAATTACATATAATATGTTATGTGATAAATGTTACATGAAATCAAAAATATTATATAGAAAAAAATGATTTATATAATTAAGTAGTGTAAACGTGCATAAGGAGATTTCAAAAATTACGTATAATACATTATTCATATATATCAGTCTTTACACAATGGCATAATTTATATAAGTTATTGAAACGAAAGCTGAATATAATAACTTAAATATACAGATAATAATGAAATATTAACTCATAAAATATACACAACAAATTGCTATATATAATATCAAATAACGAAATAATAACTCATATATACATTAATATAACCCTATATAAAATCATTATAATAATATATTTTAAAACTATAATTGATCAACCAAAAATATGTAAAAAACAATTGAAAGTATATCTCTCTTTACAAGTATATACATATGTAAGAATATATAAAAAAACAAAATTAATAAAAAACTATGAAGAATTTTGTTAATATATTCAGAAAAAATAACTTACTTTAAATATGCAAATTTTTAGTTAAAATAATGATATTTTGTTTTGTCTTAATTAAAACACGCTCAGATATATATATTCTAAAAGAATGACATGTTTATTCACGTACACAATTAAAAAATATTGCATAAAATAATTAAAGCATATACATATTTTTACAAAGTTATATTAGAAAAGAACTCATATATTATAAAATACAGTACGTACTATACAACCATGATTTTTATGTACAAATTTGTACGCAAACTAAAACAAAATAATTAAAAATTCTACAATATATATATATAATGTTCTCGCTAACAAGGACAAATGTGTAATTTTATAGGTATATACTCATAATCCGTCGATATAAATATTGTTCTAAGAATATTTTTTATTTTAATTTTTGACACTTATCTAATATACATCGATGGAATAATTTAAGTGTAAATCAAAATAACTACTAATTAGATAGAAATATAATTATATAAATTTTAGATATATATAATAAAGATATACACATATCATATTTATATAAATTAAAAAACATTTAGTTCATAATAAAATATATATGAGTTTATATATTTTTATTATATCATCATTTACTAAAAACATCTTTGCAGAAACTACAATATTTCTTAAAAAACATTTTTCCTTTCCTCGCCCCTAATTTTTCATATTTTACAATTTTCACCATTATATAACTAATGAGTGCCAATATTATATATGCTAATATTAAAAATAATATACCATAAATATAATAAACCTCAACGGGTATTCCTGAAGCATTCAAAATAGATTGAGCACAGTTCTGACCACCATCAGAACCATTAACACAACTAACCTGAACGGTACTCTCTATCCTATCTAACACAGGTAGAATTATTCCAAGTAAAGAAACTAAACATGTAGTAACAAAACCAAA